CTGGAGCTTAAGAAAAAAGTAAACAGAAAATATATTTGAGAATTGTTGGGATACAGGCTGTAATTAGTTGTGCAACAGGTGTAAATGAGATTGTTCATAGAGAGTAGAAGCATATGGAGTGCAGAATAAAACCTTGAGAGGAACCAATACTTAATGAATGAATGAGGAAGATGACAATGCTGAAAACAGTTTGATTAGACAAAATGGAAAGGTGAGCTAAATGAGAATAATGTTAAAAAATTTATAAAGATCTGCCTCTCAAATCTTAATGAATATGAAATACTGGCACAAGATCGATCAGAAAGAAAGTCAGCTACATGGGAGTCCAGCAATGTTTACACCATCTGCTGGTCCCACAAATGGAAAGCTTGAAAGAACTAAGAACACTTAGGAAAGAAAAACAAATGATGGATATAATGATGGTGTTTATCTGCACAGTTACCATAAAGAAAAGAGAAGACTGATTCTACATAACACCTGTGTAGATGTTATATAGAACTCACTTTGGGTAACAGAGCATTTGTCGTGGTAGTTTATATCTTCACCAGTGAAAATTCAAGGACAATTCTAAGATAAAATACTACTGAGAGGAAAATAAAAGTGGATCTAAGTTACTGAAGTTATATTACTCTCCTCTAAGTTAATTAAAGTGAAATAAAAGGAGCTTAAAGGTGAAATTTAGAAGCTATGTAGAAAAATAATTAATTATTTAATGGCTACAATACTGCAATTAAGTGTAACAGGTTTAAAGTGACTTATGGCTTTTCATTGATGCCGTCTCTGTGTCCCTAAATCTAACATCTAAAATAAGACAAAAGTACTAATGTGATAAACAGAAAAAAACAGAGTCTCGATAAATACTTTTTTTAGAGAGATTTTTGCTATAGGGCACATGTACTGGCCAGAAAAACAGAGACAGACATAGAGACAGAAAGCAAGAAAGCACACTCCAGGGTGGATGGCCACACAGTAATCCCTTCTCCTCCATTCTCCTCTTGAGATTTTGGGCACGCACATACATGTGCCCAGCCTGAGTTTTAAGCTGCTGGGTCTGGTACACAAACCATGGTCGACTTCTGGGAATTTAGCGATATAACCATTATGCCATCTGCTGGTACCCTGGATGAATACTTTCTATATATTTACCTAAAAATGCTCAATGTAGTTAATCCTCTGTATAGGTTTATAACACCAGAAATCAGATAAGGAAGTTCTCATAATATGTTTGTTTTTCTCCCAGGTATAATGCAGATTTAAGACAACTTAAGTTTCTTGAGAGAATAATAATTTATCAGAGGCACAAAGAACACAATTTTTCTTTATTATACTATCATCAGTTAGAGTAGAACAAATGTTCACTCTATCAAAGATTCTTTGAGGGGCCAGCAGGTGGCATGGTGGTTAAGGTGCTGGATCCCATTTGGCCAACACAGGTTTGAGTTCCAGACCCAGTAGCTTGAAAAATATGCTAGGTATGTGTACATATGTACCCCAAAACCTGAAAGGAGAATAGAGGTGAAAGGCACTTCTATTGTAGTCTGTCCATCCCCTATGGGGGTGATATATCACCTGCCCCTCTCTGTCTCTCTCTCAGGCAGGCACACACCCCCTATGGCAAAAGTCTTTAAAAATTTTTTTGATGGTGTAATAAATGTAAATAAGGATATAAATATATATAAATTTATGTGTATAAATAAAAACTAAGTTAAATAAAAGAACAATTAGTGCTTTCATTTATTCAGTTCTGTCACTAAGTTACTACTAATTTGATACTTTGAATTTCTTTTCTTAATCTGGTCTACTTCTAGACCAGAGGTGTGAAAACGGAACTACCTGGACACAATCTCCACTACCTCTTCTGTCTTTCCAAGTTTCTAATTGCATAATTAAATTACTACTACCATAGAATCATCCTTATAATCAGAAATACAAAGCTACTTAACTAAATTTTCACTTACCTACCTGCTTTTTTTTTAGTAAATGCCATAAATCTTCAAAGAAAAAGACAAGAACAATGGCAAGATATACCATAAAAATGACGAATTAGTTCAGAGCATTGTTAAATATCTTATTTATCATATTAAATCCTCTCGCTAAGGACCAGAAAAATCTTCATCAAAATCCAGTACTTCCTCTAGTTCTATGAATCTAACTAACAAGCTAGTTAAAATTAGATAAGTATTTTTGTTGTTTTTGTTGGAGTAAGAAATGGACAAACCCAACAAAACACTTCCTCCTTTCTAACATGACTGCCTAATTACCTGTGCTAGCAAATGAAATGATAATCTAAAAATAATTCACTCTTAGCCTAAAAGCCACTTCTGGCTTTCTTCTATTCTTGCTACAAAAGAAGAAACTGTTTTTCTACTTATGACTGATCCATCAAGGTAACTTCTGAGGCATAATGAAAAAAATTAATGAATATTAGATGTCAATGCTGCAAGCTTCAAGAGATGAGAATGGAAGATCAGAATTTGACATTTCCATAAAAGGAATTTCAGATCTGCACTGTATTTTCTCTCTCAATTCTTTTGATAAAACAGACACACTAAGATGATGTGCCATGGTGCTTTGATCAGAGGTATATGCATGCCCCAGACTGAGCTGATCAAACCAATTTAGGATAGAAATTAAATTACTATTTCCTAAGCCAATGGTAATACACTGTGGTGGGAGGGAGTCTAAAAACATGTTAGACAGTGTTAAAGTACTAAGCTTGTACAGACTAACCACTGGGGCGGTCATGGTCTAGCACTATTCTCTGCACTGGTTCTGACAATAGAAATGCTTGGTATACCTGCTATACTACGGGTATAACCTTTAACAAGAAGGTATTTAATTCTCTACACTTTGCTTTCCTTATCTGTAGAGTGGAGTGTTATAGATGAAATAATACATGAGACCAGTAGATGGTGTAATGGTTATATTGCTGAACTCCCACATAGTTGACCGCGGTTCCAGTCCCAGACCCAGTGACTTAAAACTCATGCCAAGTGCATGCATGCCTAAGATCCCAAGAGGAGAATGGAGGAGAAGGGACTGCAGCATGGCCATTCCCCCCAGGGAGGGGGGTGATTTCTTACTTTCTGGATCTCCTATGAGCATACATGTCCTACAACAAAAAACTCTCAAAAACAAAATAATAATATATATAAAAAACACTGAAACAATGCCTGATGTGAAAGTATGAACTCATGTGTTGTCAGTGAGTGCATAATTAACAAATAACTAAGAGTTGCAAACACATTACTTTTCTTTTTTCTTTCTAAAAGAACATTAAGATCAAACTAATTCAAAGCTAAGAAAACAACTCAGGTCCTTCATACTAAAATTTGTTGTTAGACCTTGATTCCTCTAGTACTGTGTAAAGATAGTGAAATCAGACAGAGAGAAATGGACCCTAAAAATCCTGTTTTAAATCTTATCTTTACAATGTGCACAATACTGTTTTACACAGTTGTTCGTTCCCCCTGCATCCATTTCTAGTCCTGCCAGAAGCTGTCTGAAAACCAGTCATACCCCATTATCATCTTTGGTCTAGGTAAAACTTCGTTGGGACCAGCAGGTAGCATAATGGTTAAGGTGCTGGATTCCCACATGGCTAACTGCGATTCAAGTTCCGGACCTAGAAGTTAGAAACTCACCAGGTGCGTCTGCGTGTGTGCCTGAAATCCCAGAGGAGAATGGAAAAGGGATTGTGGCATGGCCATCCCCTGGGGGTTAGTTTTCTCATTTTCTCTCTTTCTCTGTCTCTCTGGCGAGCACATGCACCCTATAGCAAAAATCCCTCTTAAAAAAAATTTCCCTTTCAGCATGGCCATTTGTGATATAATTCACTTACATCTCACCTTACAGTTAACAGTCAACACCACAGTCATGTAGATAAGATCCCTCCTATAGCTACTTTGTCTAGCTAGCCAATCCTCAAACCTAAACGACAGCACTCACGGACATTATAAATACACGTTCACAGGGTCTGACAGGTTTCCTCTCCCTCACTTTCTTTCTCTGTTGCTCTCCACCCACTGGCTGAGTTCCCTACTGTCTCCAGATATCCTGGCCCTCCCGAATACCTATCTTCTCTCATAGATCTGTGAGCAATGAAACGCTTCTGTTATTTCATGTGTTTGGTTGTGCTGCTTCCTCTGTGTCTTGCTTGACTAACACATCTGAACTTTCCCCCTGTCAGAGATCTCCTAGAGGACAGCTGGCTTAACAGGAATAAACTGGGCACAGGTCAGACAAGAGCTACAAGAGTGCCTGTCAGTATAAACAAGTCTCCTGAGAGAAGGACACCTGGCCAAGGGTCAGATACTTAAGACACTAGGCTGTCTGTCAGAATAAAGGAAAATTCTGTGAAAGGCACACTGTACAAACATCTACAACCACCTCCTCTGGAGCTCTATCAGGGCAGGACTAGAATTATGGTCACTCCTTAGAGAGACCTTAAAGCCAAATCAGAAATAAATCATAACACTACTTGTTAGATGCATTTATGCAAATTATTCATTTCTATTTTTGTCTATTTCTTAATTTAAAAAACAGAAGATATACAATCTAGCCATTTGTATGTCCAATACAAATATACAGAGGTAATTAAGAGTCAAATAAGATGTAACATCATTTAACAGTCTTTGTATATACAATGGATTAATATTAACAAGGAGTACCAGAGTTTAATTATAACCCAAGTTTTTTCAGAAAAACAGCAGCCATCAAGAACATATAGCTAAGGTATAAAGAAATTCTAGGCTAAAAACAAAACAAAACAAAACAAAACACCTATTCTTTGCATTCATGATGCACAAATATTTTTAAGAATTAGTGATATAAAAGCAAAGTTACAGGAATTCTATTTTACACTAAAATATTCTCTCTATTTATGAAAACTAGTGAATGAAAAAACTTGTTCCACTACTTAATAAAAATACATAATCATCTTAACTGCTGTGGCTTTTTACAAAGAAATTTAGTCATTAAAATGATAAAATTCAACTTACTTGTATCTGACAGTTTGTACAGTTTCTGCTGAAACATTATTAACAATGCATTTAGCCGCACATTCCAATCCCTGCCAGACAGTTGAAAATCCTGCAAATATATTTCAAAGTAAGTAAATCTAGCCCACAGCAGACCTTCTTAGTTAAAATTCTGCTCCCTTTTCTTACCTTGAACACTACTTGCTGCTACAACCATAGCACCATCCAGGGGGGACTTCCCGTCTTTGTCTTTTTTAAGAGATTCCGGAACAAGCTTGCTGCCATGCTTCTTGACATGTGGAGCTAGTTCTTTTCCAACACAATTTGCTACAGAGCAAACTCCATCAACTAATATAAACATTAAAAAAAAAAAAAACACAAAGACATAGAAAAGTGTATTCTTCCCTTGATTTTATCACTACTATTTATCAAAAGTTTGAAACAAACACATTAAATGGTTCTACTGCATAATGTTTCTATTTCTACATAAGGATGAGAAGCTAGGGTGGCTATTTTTCAAAGGATATCATTTGCTTTAAAGATATCTTTGCAGAGCCTACTGCTTATTCAAAATTGCTCATATCCTTGCCTCTCAGATATACATGTTCTTTGTGGCACGTTTGCTTAAAAGAGAACCACCCTCCTTTTCTATGTGACTGCTGCAATGCCAGATTGGTATGCACATCTCAGTGTCTCCCTGAAGAGAGTATTTGTATTTATTCTATCAGCAAATATCTCAGTAAAATAACAGTAAGGAATTACATCTATAAAAGTAAATGACAAAATCTGATTCAAAAGACTATTAAATACAAAAAAAGATAATCTAACTAACTTTAATAGTAATCCATTGAGGACCTATCTGCACCTTAACACACCAAAATTTAGTACTGTGATTCTCAAAGGTCTCAAAGGATAGGAGATTAGAAGTAAACTATTTGGGAAGGGTAGCACCAGAATCAGTAAATTAGTCTTTCTCAAATAATACCTTCCTTCCTCTTGATCCACAACTACTATGCAGTAAAGCTGCTGTCCTGAAACAATATGTCAGATCTCTCAGATGGATTCACTGAAAGTGAAGACATTCAGAATCCTTTTCAAAGACACACCTCTCCAGACAAACAACCCTCTTTCACAAGTTACTCAAATGTAAACATGCAAAACATGCAAATGATAATCACCTATGGATCTTGTAAAAATGCATGTTTCTTTTTTTTGGGAGAGGTTTTTTTTTGGTTGTTTTTTGTTTTTTTGCTATAGGGCACATGCGCTTGTCAGAGAGAGAGAGAGAGAGCAGGACAGAAGCGAGAAACCACCCCCTGGGGGGGATGGCTACGCTGCAATCCCTTCTCCTCCATTCTCCTCTCGGGATGTTGGGCATGCACGCACATGTGTCCAGCGTGAGTTTAAGCCACTGGGTCCAGGATATGAACCTCGGTCGACTACATGTAAGTCCAGCAACATAGCCATTTACGCTAACTGCTGGTCCCTAAAAATGCACATTTTAAATCAGTAGATATGCCAGGTCCTGAAGTGCTACATGTTTAAGGCTCCCAGACAGTCTGATAATTACTGAGTTGTAGGTATCATTGGGGAGAGTAAAGTGAAACTGCTTCACCCAGAATTTTACTCTTGAAATTAAACCATCTAAATGGACATTCAGATTAACCCTGGATTAAAAGATTCTTTTACGTCTAATTAAAAAGAAGTCATCTCAAGTTACTTTACCCAGGAACTGGCTGACTTTCGCTGCTCCTCCTGTAGCCTGCTTTGCTATATAAAGTCCCTTGGTGACAGCTGGACTAACTTCCACTGGTTTTTCTTCTGGTTGAATCCGTTCTCGAAGTTTAGAAGCGCCTTTCTGGATTGCTTTGCCAGTAAATTCAGCACCTTTGACTAAACCCCAACTCACCCAGGAAGCACCTTTTTAAAGAAAATTTTGAATTGTGTAGTATTAGAGCCAATTATACTTTTAAACAATAAAAAATAAATAAAATAAATAAAAGGAGTTTGATACTCAGATCTCAAACATGCCAAGTATAATGTTCAAGCCAACATTTTCCCTATAGGTTTCTACTTGAAATAGACATATACCTTTTCTAACTAAACGTAACTTTCCATACTTAGGTCATACACTACTCCATAACAGGTCTTCATTAATCTATGCAGGCACTGCAATTTGTAGATATTTCCATGTCACACTTACCATATACACTGTTAAGTACTATTCTGAGTTCAGGGGTTAATAAGATAGTATTTGACTAGAGAACCCAGCTACTCTTTTTGCCTTTGTTTAGGCATCACATTACCTCATTAGATCTTGAGGGAGAAAGATACAAACAATACAAACTGGAACTAAAGAACCTCTGCCTGAAACACCAAGGCAAAACTCAAGCTTGTTTTAGGCTAAAAACATTAGTTTGGGGGGTTGCTGTTCCTTCCTCAATCCTATATCCAAACACCTGGATTGCAGCTTCCTGTAAAAACTAGAATTACAACATAAGAACCCCAAAAATGTATGAGAAAAGAAAATCTAAAAGAGAAAAAAGAGGGACCAGCAGTTAGCGTAATGGCTATGTTGCTGGACTCCCACGTAGTCGAGTCCTGGACCTGTGGCTTAAACTCACGCCGGGCACGTTGTGTGTGCATGCCCAAGATCCCGAGAGGAGAATGGAGGAGAAGGGATTGTGGCGTGGCCATCCCCCCTGGGGGGTGATTTCTCGCTTTCTGTCTCTCTGTCTCTCTCTGTCTTTCTGACAAGTGCACGCGACCTATAGCAAAAACCTCTCCAAAAAAAAAAAAAAAAAGAGAGCGAAAAAAGAGATCTGGATAATTATGTCATTTCTACTGAGAGTGGGCCTCAGCCCTTTGCTTTTGCACATGCTTCTTATAGCATGAATGACAGAAGCAGTTGCCAGAGGGAAAAGCAAGATGGCAGGCTGTCTCTAGTAAGGAAAAAAG